GGGCCCGGGGACAGTTGGTCCGAGAGGATGAGGAGATACTTGTACCTCCTCCCATGGCAGACATAGATCTCAGACACTCCCAAGATAGGGAGCCAAGGCCAGGTCACCATCTGGAAAAGACCCAGGCCGGGAGAGTACCGGCGAATCAAGGAGGAGCAGGAGACTCGGCTTTACGGCTGGGGCAGCGTCATAGCAAGGTTCAGACTATGCTGACATAACAGTATTTGAAGTCTGTGGCATCACGGCTAGCGTACTTGAAATACTGTAGCATCTGCGCTACTCCTTTCGCGTGTGCTGACGAATAGGAGGCTTTTGTATGCGATACAGGGACAACTTTCTCGGATGGCGCAGCCACCGAAATACTTCTTCTTCTTCTTCTTCTTCTTCTTCTTCTTCTTCTTCTTCTTCTTCTTCTTCTTCTTCTTTTATTAAAACGTGCATTCGTCCAGCACGGGTCATTCAACGCCGAGAATTGTCATTAATAAACAATTACATGTGTGTACTCACTCGGAACAAAATCTAGGCTTGGCTTTCTCCATTTTCTCCGCTTTTTTTTAACTATGAACTTCTAATACTAGGAACTTCTGGTACGAGAAACATCTGGCACTAAGAACCTCTGCTGGTTGGTTAGTTAATGGGGTTTAAAGCTTACCGATTACACGATGGTCATTACTTCCAGTCAATAATACTTGAATTCCTAAAATAGAGATTAAAGTCTCGGCATATTTACACTGAGTATATATCCTGTAGTTCATTAACTAATGGTGTTTAAAGTCTACACGAGGGTCATTAATTAAGGCTGTATGTCACCTGTTCACTACCAGACAAGAATACATTAATTCCCAAAGTAATTGAATTCACCTCCGAGTGTATACAGTGAGAGCCTCAACCCCTTGCTGCATATAAATATGTATATATATATATATATATATATATATATATATATATATATATATATATATATATATATATATATATATATATATATATATATATATATATTATATAATATGTCGTGCCGAATAGGCAGAACTTGCGATCTTGGCTTAAATAGCAACGCTCATCTTGGCATATAGGACAAGTGAAAATTTGTGTATGCAATAATTTCGCCAAAATCATTTTGAACCTAACGAAAAAAATATATTTCACTGTGTTTGTTTAGTATTAAATTATTATAAACAAATCTAAAATATATTTAGTTGGGTTAGGCTAAAATAAATTGTTCTTGTTATAATAAGGTTAGGTAAGTTTTCTAAGTTCCTTTTGGTGCAAAATTAAAATTTTTTACATTAACATTAATCAAAAAAATATATCTTTAAACTTATAAGAGAAAATTTTAGAAAGGACTTAATTTTAAATAAGTTCTTGCTAATTGACCAGTATTACATATTCGGCACGACATATATATATATATATATATATATATATATATATATATATATATATATATATATATATAATATATATATATATATATATATGTATATGTATATGTCGTGCCGAATAGGCAGAACTTGCGATCTTGGCTTAAATAGCAACGCTCATCTTGGCATATAGGACAAGTGAAAATTTGTGTATGCAATAATTTCGCCAAAATCATTCTGAACCTAACGAAAAAAAATGTATTTGATTGTGTTTGTTTAGTACTAAATTATTGTAAACGTATTTAAAATATATTTAGTTGGGTTAGGCTAAAATAAATTGCTCTTGTTATAATAAGGTTAGGTAAGTTTTCTAAGATTCTTTTGGTGAAAAATTTAAAATTTTTACATTAACATTAATGAAAAAAATATATCTTTAAACGTATAAGAGAAAATTTCAGAAAGGACTTAATTTTAAATGAGTTCTTGCTAAATGACCAGTTTTACATATTCGGCACGACATATATATATATATATATATATATATATATATATATATATATATATATATATATATATATATATATATATATATATATAAGAACATAAGAACATAAGAAAGGAGGAACACTGCAGCAGGCCTGTTGGCCCATACTAGGCAGGTCCTTTACAATTCATCCCACTAACAAAACATTTGCCGAATCCAATTTTCAATGCTACCCAAGAAATAAGCTCCGATGTGCAAGTCCCACTCAAATCCAACCCCTCCCACTCATGTACTTATCCAACCTAAATTTGAAACTACCCAAAGTCCTAGCCTCAATAACCCAACTAGGTAGACTGTTCCACTCATCAACTACCCTATTTCCAAACCAATACTTTCCTATGTCCTTTCTAAATCTAAACTTATCTAATTTAAATCCATTACTGTGGGTTCTCTCTTGGAGAGATATCCTCAAGACCTTGTTAATATCCCCTTTATATATATATATATATATATATATATATATATATATATATATATATATATATATATATATATATATATATATATATATCATTAGTGTGTCCTCGCCATCACATTATCTTTCTCCGTATTGCTGTGGTCAGGCGTGTGCCGGACATTACCACACTGGGATAAGTAAGTCTCTCATATTCCGTCAGTACCCGGCCAGCCGATCTCAAGGTCAGCACTGCTGAGGTTGTGTGTGTTGTCGTGTCTGTACGAGTACCACTGGTTGTTGTTGTTGTTGTCGTTTTTGCCATTATTGTTTAGTTGTTTTCGTTCAATGCTTTGTTGATTTTGTTGTTGTTTTAGGTTAGGTAAGGTTTGTCAGGAAATAGGACAAGTGTTTCTTGATGCGGGTCATAGTCATATGACGACACGCAGCTGGAGCTTTTGGTCATCTGACCAAGGCCTCCCGCTGGCTTACCGGTCCATCCCTATAAAAATTAATGGTTATAATTATAACCATGGAGTGTTTGCTGTTTTAGCTGTTGCTGCAGTATTAGTTGCTGTTGTTTTCGTTTCAGTTGTTGCAGTTATTTTCGTTTCTTTTGTTATTTTTTTGTTGTTGCTGCTGTTGTTGTGGTTCTTATTTTTTGTTGTAGTTACTGTTGTTGTTGTTATTGATGAGGTAAATGAAAACTCTTACCGTAAGTGAACTTTGTCTGTAATACTCTCATCTAGTTCATCGTTATATACTCTGTTTATTTTAATTAACCTCTGGTTCTAGATATCTCTAACATTAACAGCCTGTGGTTCTAGATATCTCTAACATTAACAGCCTGTGGTACTAGATATCTCTAACGTTAAGAACCTCTGGTACTCGATACCTCTAACGTTAAGAGCCTCTGGTGCTAGATATCTCTAACATTAAGAACCTCTGATACTAAGGAAAATCTGGGACCCTTATTGAATTATCCCTACTACTATGTTTCCATTCAGTGCTAAAGGTAATCGATTTGTGGTCGCTCGCGCCAAGTTTCTCTGTAATCTCTAGATTATTAATAAGGGTATCCTTGTTTGCCAGAACTATATCAAGCAGGTTATTTCTTCTAGTTGGTTCTGTCACAAACTGCTTTAAAAATGTTATAGAACTATTTCTTGGAAGTCATTTGACTCTAGATTCTAGTTAAGTCTCCTAGAATTCCTACGTTGTCGTACCATGGATGTAGCCTTAATAATTTCCTCCCAAATTAGTCTTCCTTGATTTCTATCAAGGACAGTATATCACTACTAAAATTAATGTCCCTTTCTAAGTTAGGGGGTCGGTATATTACACCTAAAATAAATTTTTCTTATCAGTCTAGAAATTCTACCCAACAGATTATGTGTCTAATCCATCGATTTTTATACATGTTTTTGTGCAACAATTCATATTTTATCGGACAAATATAGCTACCCCACCCGCCTTTCCGTTATTTTTATCTATATATATGTAACCAAACGTAATATGTTCATCTCATTTCTGGCACTTCTGTTTGAATAAAATATTTTAGGATTATTTTTCGTCTTTGCCTTTTCCCTTTCATCTTCTTTTCACAGTTTCTGTTGTAATTATCTTCACCCGAACTTAAATGATGAAAGTTACTCCTAAAATCCACATTATAACAAGCCTGATAATTTAAACAGCTCAAATCGCTGGTTTTAGAATTCATCCCCCCCCCCCACAAAAGCTCATACCACTATTTCTAGTTTAAAGTCCTAACAGCTCCCTTCACTGCACTGGCCATTCCCCCCACACCTGTCCTAGATCAGCGAACCCCATTCCTAGCATGCATGTTATTTATGTCATAGAAGATATCTCAGTTGTCTATGAATGGTACTGCAATTCCTTAGTGTTTGTCCAACAAGCAATTAACACCAAGTGGCCTGGACAACCATTCGCTTCTAACTCCTCTCCTCGGCAAAATGCAACATACTAGAGAGTGCCCTATCTCCTTAATTATTTCTATCAATGACCTATACCTGCTAATCAGGTCCTCACTCCTACGTCTGCCAACATCGTCGTCTCCAGCACTGAGACAAGTAATAGGATTTCTCCCATCACTTTTCATGATGTTGTCAAGACAGATAACAATATCCTGCATCCCAGCCCCAGGAAAACCCACTCTCGTCCTTCTCTACCTATCTCTAGGACAAAACCCTCCCTGTCATAAACTTTATCTGACTGTTCCCGACTAAAACAATGTTATCTTTACTGGCGGTGTTCATCGTAATGTTTGCAATGGTCTTCGTTGGGATGTCCTGTGTGTACCCACCTATTTGTAGTTGCAGGGCTCAAGTCAGCTCCTGGCTATGTGTGTGTGTGTGTTTTGACACGTACACACACTGTCTTTGTTGTCTGACAAAGTATCAGCCTGAGAATTGGTCTGTAGGTTTATAAAAAAAATCGATGCTGCCTTAAAGCAAGTTTTAAGGAAAAAGAATAGCATCGCCACACGTATTTACGAGCAAATTTAATTAACAGACATCAAGGGGAAAACCAAACGAGAAAAAACAACCACGTCAGCAATAGTACTTTATTCTTTCAAAATTTCCCAAACACCATTGATGGAAGTGTTTACGCAAGTTGCCACTGGTTGACATGTGTGCTCAGCAGCCACAGAACCCACAAAGAAATCCAGTAAGTGTCGCTAGGCTTTATTGTTTACGTCTGAAGCTTCTAGTGATATCATTGAGTCATATCCTGTAGGTTCCTTGCCTCTTCTTACTCCTGCCCTTGTTCAAGACTCTCAGTGACACGCTGGCTCGATACTAAGACACACGGTGACAGCACTCAAGCACTTCATCTATTCCTTATCGTGAACTCGAAGTTAGTGTTGTCTTACCTCTGCTTAAAGTTAAACGCATCGGCTAATTAATGTGTATTCATTGAGAGGACTCGAGTTTGTAAAGAATCGCCATGGGATCTGTACGGTCAAGTGTTTTCATCTTGAGTTTGGCGTTGTGTGGGGTATTGTGGACTTCCAAACCTGTGAGTTGTTTACCCTTACAGACTGATCACAACATCACTACTTCCCTGCCAGGCTTTCCTCCAGGCAATATTCCCACTACCATTACTGTCTTGCCAGGCTCTGCCCCAGGGAATGATCAAAACATTACTACTTCCCTGCCAATCTCTGCATCAAAGGATGAGACTGACTATTCTGACAACTCCGTCTCCGGTCTGGTACTGAACACTCAGGACGTGATGCAGAAAGTGAGGAATAAGGAAGAATGTACAGTCCTCAACACTACGGAAAATATGTTTGGTCTACAGACAGTCAAGGAATTTAATGAAAAATCTCTCACCTTCTTCATCCGCCCCAAGTCATCTTTCAAAAAGCTGGTGTTCAGAATAAAACTGGGAACTGTACTAAAATTCTTCGACACAGAGGAGGCAATAGACATTCACAATTCTGACCTGGTACACTCCATATCGGAGCCATGGACTAGCATTGACGTGAAGTATTACATGAAATCGTCCATCGGGCTCAAGTACCATGCTCTGAATGTAACTGTCGGCAATACAACACTCTCCCTTGTGTCGCACTACAACTGGTTCATATACAACTACAAAGGTTTCGTCATTTCTGCAGAAGGAGGAGCTCATGTTCTTTTCAATTGCCTACCGATAGATCTTCAGGAACTTACCCAACAAGCTTCGTCATATAACGGAGTGTGGCTAATGGCTGGGCTCTTTATAACAGCCGCGATCCTGCTGGTGGCACTCTTCTTCGTTTGGCTGTCCCTCCGGTGCCGCAAGAGGAGCCACAAGGCACAAGCTCCCTTGTCATCCCTGGTAAATCGAAGTCTTTACTTATTATTAGTTTATCTTGCACGCTACTTGTACTCTCATCTTCAATATGCAAGTTAATTCTCAATTAAAATCTACTTTTTCTTAATAATTTGGCTGAGGCAAAAATCTAAAAAAAAAATATTATATTCGCTGTACCGTAAAAGTTCTCAGGCCTGAAACGTCACTAATTGCTCTTGGTTATTGCAGGTTTATGAAGAATTTGATGAGGAAGTTCTGGAGAAAATTCGCCAAAAAGTCGAGACTCTGCGAAGTGGTAAATCTCAGAGCGACCTGAGGTACACGGGAGTCGTGTCTTATGAGGCAAGTAGGGAGAACCCTTACGTGATGAGCACAACCCTGCTGCAGGATAGTGAAAAGCAGAAGGAAGTGAGCGAGGAGGAGGAGAGACATGTGTATCAAAACGTGTTCGCTGGGAGACCCATTCCTGCCCCTAGGTTCATCAAGGAGACGCCTAGGGTCGAGCCGCAGTACCATAACATGCTCTCAATCTCCAGCATCTGCAGAGAAGCAGATGATGAGTGTCCTTCTGTAGATGAGTCGCCTGGTGAATCAGAGGGGATTTACCAGAATCCAACATCCATCCTAATCTGTCGAGCTGAGGAAGTCGACATGCGCCACACCGAGAAAGTAACCACTGACGCAGCAAGAGAGGAGAGATGACTCACTCAAGAGGAATAATCAAAAGCCTCAGCTACCCCTATCTCTATCTCAATCTATCTTTCTGCCTTTTTCTCTCACATTCTATCCCTATCTTAACATATAACTTCGCTTCCGTCTTCTCGTTGCAGCATCTTCCAATGAAGACTACAAAAAAAAAAAAAAAAGTGGAAAGATTTGCTAAGATGGTTTCTGAATACCTCCTTGTTAATCCCTAGAGCGGGTATTCACAGTCAGCTCATCAGCAGTATTGCCTCTGTTGACCCACAACAGAGAATCTCTTCTGTTGAGTTTACATTCCTGTCGCACAGAGACGTCAGCTCAAACATGAGATCCGAGGCTCCTCCATTCGTACAGTTTATCTTATTTCTGGTTTAGAAAGACACGTGAGCAAACACTACGACATATTTATTAGAAAACGTTTCGGTTCTGTGACCTTGACCAAGTGATCGACGTCCCAGAACCGAAACGTTTTCTAATAAATATGTCGTAGTGTTTGCTCACGTGTCCTTCTGAAGAAATTTATCAGTATTTATTACCAAGATTTATACCAGTCTTATCTCTAAATGAACTTTGTTGTGTTTCTTCAGAATATATATTTTTATTACTGATCATTCCATTATCAGCTTATGAGTGAATAATAATACTTTCACATGAAAGGTTTATATATATATATATATATATATATATATATAATATATATATATATATATATATATATATATATTTTGAGTGTATTGTCATTATCATCAAATCTGTACATATAGAAATAATTGTAGAAAGAGAAAAAAATATATATTTATATATTTAATTTTCATTTGCATCCTTGTTCTATTGTTTTGTGTGGTCAGTCACTGGAAAAAATGACTTTGCAGACTTTGGTTACAGTGACCTCGACAAACCAGTTATTTATATTTTGTAACTAACAGATTAATCTCATTACCTGTCATTGACCCCTCAAGGAAGGTTCCTTGATGTTGGTGAGGGGCTCTTGATTTAGGGAATTGGATCTGTGCTCCAGTTCCCCGAATTAAGCCTGAATGCTTTCCACATCCCCCCCCCAGGCGCTGTATAATCCTCCGGGTTTAGCGCTTCTCCCCCTTGATTATAATAATAATAATAATATCTGAATTGACAATGTATACCTACACCCTAATACTTGACATTGTATACCTAGACTCTGCCCTTGACAATGTATACCTAGACCCTGCCCTTGACAATGTATACCTAGACCCTGCCCTTGACAATGTATACCTAGACCCTGCCCTTGACAATGTATACCTAGACCCTGCCCTTGACATTGTATACCTAGACCCTGCCCTTGACAATGTATACCTAGACCCTGCCCTTGACAATGTATACCTAGACCCTGCCCTTGACAATGTATACCTAGACCCTGCCCTTGACAATGTATACCTAGACCCTGGCCCGTTGACATTGTATACCTAGACCCTGCCCTTGACAATGTATACCTAGACCCTGCCCTTGACATTGTATACCTAGATCCTGCCCTTGACATTGTATACCTAGACCCTGCCCTTGACAATGTATACCTAGACCCTGCCCATGACAATGTATACCTAGACCCTGCCCTTGACATTGTATACCTAGACCCTGCCCTTGACATTGTATACCTAGACCCTGCCCTTGACATTGTATACCTAGACCCTGCCCTTGACAATGTATACCTAGACCCTGCCCTTGACAATGTATACCTAGACCCTGCCCTTGACATTGTATACCTAGATCCTGCCCTTGACATTGTATACCTAGACCCTGCCCTTGACAATGTATACCTAGACCCTGCCCTTGACATTGTATACCTAGATCCTGCCCTTGACATTGTATACCTAGACCCTGCCCATGACAATGTATACCTAGACCCTGCCCTTGACAATGTATACCTAGACCCTGCCCTTGACATTGTATACCTAGACCCTGCCCATGACAATGTATACCTAGACCCTGCCCTTGACATTGTATACCTAGACCCTGCCCTTGACATTGTATACCTAGACCCTGCCCTTGACAATGTATACCTAGACCCTGCCCTTGACAATGTAAACCTAGACCCTGCCTTGACAATGTATACCTAGACCCTGCCCTTGACAATGTAAACCTAGACCCTGCCCTTGACAATGTATACCTAGACCCTGCCCTTGACAATGTATACCTAGACCCTGCCCTTGACAATGTATACCTAGACCCTGCCCTTGACAATGTATACCTAGACCCTGCCCTTGACAATGTAAACCTAGACCCTGCCCTTGACAATGTATACCTAGACCCTGCCCTTGACATTGTATACCTAGACCCTGCCCTTGACAATGTATATCTAAATCTCGTCCCTTGCCAACTGAGCACATCTAATATATTTAGGACGCCTAAAACCTCTCAAAAGATTGTCAGACCAACACATGAGACTAAGATACCTCATAATTTATATCTGGAAAAACTGAAGAATCCTGTTCCTTATCTGTACACTGAAGTTCCTTCTTACAAAAGCGGGATGGCGCTGTACTGACCCACACGGATGGAGACTTTATGTTAATTATGAGAGTGGGAGGCGTGAGAGAGGATACTTAAAACCTTCAATGAAAATCATGGGAGCAATGAGTAAACATGTTATTTTAGTAAACATGAGGCCTTTTATCAGCACCATTAAACATGAAGATAATTATCAGCAGTCCCTCTATATATCGGTGAAAATGGTTTTGATTCAGGGAATTGGAGCTACCCTTCCCTTCTTTAGATCAAACGTAATTACCTCCAGAACAACAAAAAGACGCAATATCGTGACTGGAACAATACACAAATAACCCGCACATAGGAGAGAGGAGCTTACCACGATGTTTCACTCAGTCTTGGGTCATTTACAGTCACATTATAATAATAATATAATAATAATATCTTTATTTACTATAAGTACATGTACAAGGTATACAGGCCTAGCTGACATCAATGACATACTACTGTATAGAAAGCCGCTTGTTATACACAGCATTTCAGGCAAATTAGGTCAACGATTTCCCAGGATGCGACTCACACCAGTCGACTAACACCCAGGTACCCATTTTATACTGATGGGTGAACATAGACAACCGGTGTAAGGAAACACGTCCAGTCTTTCTATCCCTTACCGGGTAAAGCGAGAGCTTTCGCCACCAGGCCACGGAGGAGCCATATAGGCCAGCTGGGAGGGACGGGACAAGAGAAGTGGGAGTAGTAGTAGTAGTAGTAGTAGTAGACGTAGTGGTAGTGCAAAGTAGGGAGAGTGATTGGTGGGACAAGAATAGAAAGGGGGGGGGAGAGAAAAAGGAGGCAAAAGTGAAGGGAAGAGCCAATGGTAATAGGAAAGGAAGTAGTAGTAATAGTAGTAGTTGTAGTAGTAGTAGTAGTAGTAGTAGTAATAGTAGTCGTAGTAGTAGTACTAGTAGTAGTAGTACTAGTAGTAGCAGTAGTACTAGTAGTAGTAGTAATAGTAGTAGTAGTAGTAATAGTAGTAGTAGTAGTTGTAGTGGAGTCAGTCAAAAGGCCAGAAGGAGAAGCACTGCAGGAGAGCTAAGAGCCCACAAGGGGTAAGACCCAAAACACAGGAGGGAGGGGGGGAGGGGGAGTAAAGGACAAAACACCCAAGGCAGAAGAAAGGAAACCCCCCCCCCAAAAAAAAAATAGGAAAGGAGAAGAGGCAGAAAGAGGAGGAGAAAAAAGAATCAGGTTAAGTCACGGGTGTTCTGAAGTCTGGAGCATTTTACAATGTAATGAGAAAGGAAGGCATTTACAGAGATAAAGCCACGACTAAGATTCATGCAAGGAAAGTTGTGTGTAAGTGAGGATTCAACCAAAAGGCGACTGTGAAAGTTAGAAGTAAGGTAGACAGTTTTATAGCAAGAAGACCAGTCAACAGGATGACTGTGATCTCTGACATGACAGAAAAGAGCATTTTTGGTGTCGGCAAGCCTAACACTGCTTTTGTGCTCCCTGAGTCTGTCAGAAAGAGAACGGCCAGTTTCTCCGAAGTTACAGTGTCAAATTCTCCAACCTTCAGAACACACGTGATTTAACCTGATTCTTTTTTTTCTCTTTCTACCTCTTCTCTTTTCCTATCTTTCCTATTTCTTGTTTTGGGTTTCCTTTCTTTTGCTTTAGGTGTTTTGTTCTTTGTTTTTTCCCACCATTGTGTTTGGTCTCACCCCTTGTGGGCCCTGAGCTCTCCTGCAGTGCTCCTCTTTCTGGGCCTTTGACTGACTCCACTACTACTATTTCCTTTCCTACTATCTTAAGCTCCTACCTTCACTTTTGCTTCCTTTTTCTCTCCCCATTTACATTCTTCTCCCATCAACCACTCTGCCTACTTTACACTACCACTACTTCTACTACTACTCTCACAACTAGCCTTACCTGTACCACTTTTACTTCTACTTCCACTACCTGCCTTACCTCTACTACTACTACTACTACTACTACTACTACTACTACTACTACTACTACTGCTTCTACTACTACTACTACTACTACTGCTACTACTGCTACTACTACTACTACTACTACTACCTCTCTTGTCCCGTCCCTGCCAGCTGGTCTATATATACTGGCTTCTCTCCTTTCTGTTAGTGTGACTTGGTAAATGGTCCAAGTCGAACCGAAATGTTGTTGTAGTCTACTCTCTCCTATGTACGGGTTATAAGATCATAAGAACATAAGAAAGGAGGAACACTGCAGCAGGCCTGTTGGCCCATACTGGGCAAGTCCTTTATAAATCCAAACCACTAACAGAATAATTGCCTAATCCACTTTCAGTGCTACCATATGTGTATACTACATATCCAACCCATGCCCCAACAATGCACGCAAACGAAAATTATTAGTAACTGTCCTGGCCTAAGGTACATTAGTCACTAAATATTGAAATCATTCAGTGGATGTAAACTGATTTTTTTAACGTGATTTAACGGAATAAAAATTTCACCTTATTTCACTCATACAATAGTTATATCTGCACCAACATATCTGAATCTCACTCGCTGATTTCGTTGTATTTTGTGTTACCTTTTGTGAACGATTGAAGCTCCGCTACTGAGGATTTTGGATCTCAGTAGTAGTAACCAGTTACCAGTAACTAAGGTACCGTTGGCTCAACGATCAACCGTCTCTGCCTGAGTCACGGTCTTTCATATTGTGCTGACCTCAGCAGTATTCAAAGGCCCCCTCACATAGGGTACTGCAGCCGGCTAGTCAGTATTACGAGTGTAGCCAAGGAGACAGGTACGGCTGGCAAGGGCTCTCCCCACATAACAGCAATTATAAGTAATAACAGCCTACGTGAGTATTTCTTCCCTAATCCACGAGTCGAACTCCCACATGATAAATGGTGTACAGCGGTGTGGAGCGTGGATTTACGTTTTTAAGGGTAATTCAAGGCGTTTGAAGACTGTTGTGAGTAGAAAGGCAGGTCAAAGGTGAATCGTCGCCCACCAGCCACTGCCCTCGCGCACCTCCAGCCACCAGCAGTCTACTCCCCTCACAACCCTCACTCAAACCTACAGCCTGCAAGCCTGTTGCAGCCGTTTCAAGCTTCCTGGCTTAGTTCGTGTGCTAATTGCTTCAATCTCCGAGGGGTTGACCCGGATTTTTTCAATAAGCCAGTCAGTAAGC